CATAAAAGCAAACATTTTTAGTCGATTCGTACTCCAATTCAATCAATCTTCAATTCGCAGACAACAAACAAAATATCAACGAGAATTAACCCAAACAGCAGTAGATCTCCCCCAAAACGATGGAAATCATCCACCATTACCCAAGATGAGATCTTACTAAACAACCCGGCAACTCATCAAACAAAAACCGTCTCAGATCGTCCCCTCGCCTGTCGCGAAATCCACGAAAACCAAACCCAGATCCGAAGAGCAAGCACCGAGAAAAAGGCGAGAAAAATCGCACCTTTTGCAGAAGAACAGAGCGATCGCTGTAGCGGCAATCCAATGTCAGGATCCGGTAGCAACTCGCAACAGATGGATCCGAAGATAAAGCTCAGGATCTCGAGAGGAGAAAGAGGACGCGGAATTGGGAAGCTTCGTCGCGGAGGACGAATGCGTGGTGGATTGGGAAGAACGCGGAGAAGGCGGGTGGGAAGACTAGTTCCGACCGGGGACGAGTAAGACGGGGAGGTGTCAATTTATTTCTGGATTACAGGGGAAATCTCTTCTCGTTTCTAAGGGGGAAGGAAGACTAATTAATGAGGGGTTACGGACTAATGGAGAGATTTGAGGAGGACACGGTGGGAATCTTGTGATCTCGTATGAAACATGCGTGCATATATATACTTATATACGGAGAGAGTTTAGATCTTAGATCTCTGTCTCTTAATTTTGGTTATTTCTAAATTAGATTATGAGGATCTTAACCTTATTTTAATGTCCTGTGACTGTGCTGCTTTCAACAAACATAGGAAATGGGTCACGCGGTGTGCATGAGTCACGACAAGTCCATGACCATCATAAATGGAATTCGTTGACCGTCAAGCATCAGATAAACCATCAGATCACATACTTCAACATAAGCATGTCCTCAGTGGGACTCCAACCACGACCAACACTACGAAAGCATGCGGCTGCCAAAGAGGAAAGGAAGCAGCGGTACACGAACGATGCTTCCAAATGCCTAGTTAGTGCTTTAGGTGGCCCTCGTTGGCCTTCTTGAACACGCGGGCTTGCGCTGCGGCAGCCTTGTCGGAGACGACCGCCGCGTTGAACGCGTCCCTCACTTGCTGCGTGCTGAACACGAAGCTCTTGTTCGCCAGGGAGTTGAGTAAAGACGCTGTTCCTTCTCGGTAAAGGGCTCCGATCCCGTCGGCGCGCGTGTTGGCCAGTGCCTCCGGCAAGCTCAGGCTCCTCCCGAAAGCTGCAGCAGCGGGTGGGCCGAAGAGTTGGCTGACGGTGCCCCAGTAGCCGATCAAGCCCCATATCGCCGCTGAATGTGTTCTCCAGTAACTAGAGAACCACATGATGTTACCGTGAGCTGAAGAAAAGGTAGGCTGAGACTGGAGTAATACGCTTACTCGCAAGTGAAGGGAAAGGTGTTGGGGTCGAAGGGAAGCAGCGGCGTCGCAGGGGGCGAAGGGATCACCGGGTATGTCGGAGTCGTCGGAACGAGAGGAGCAGGAGTGACGGGGCCATATGTTGGACTAGGAGGGGTGGTGACGACGGGGACTGAAGGCGGAGCGTAGTATCCTCCACCGCCGTGAGATGGCGTCGGCTGCCTGCGAGACGGTGCACCATGGCCGCTGCCACCGCCACCACGGGACGGGGTCGGGCAAGGAGTCGCATGCGAAGCTGCACCGTGCAAGTCATGAGTCCACTACAACATCAATGTACCATAGAAGAAGGGACAAAAACCATGAGGTCACAGCATTTTACGTGGCGGAGTAGTGTTCGGGTCAGGAGAGTAGTAGTTCTTCCGGTCAACAAAGCCACCCTCAGGCTTCCTACTCGTCGCTGGAGTGACGACTTCCTGGAAGAACAACACCATTAACACAAAACGGACGAGTTCAAGAGTCTTCCCTTTCTTCTCGCTCCCCATGCCGACCGAGCTCAAGAGGTAGAGGAAGGGAAGTCGAGCTCTGTGGAAGTGGGAGAGGCAGTAACTGCGAGCGTATATATACACATGAAAGAGAGAGCTGGAGCGAGAGCAGTGCACACGACCATTAATACAGCAAGCGGAACACAGTAGAGGGTTAGTTGATATGCTGCAGGGTGCATTAATGGCAATTAAGGCTTTGCATGTAGCACAGAAGAAACATTTGAACACGTAGGAAGACGAAGGTTATTTGAATCAACGTAGCTGTGACATAGGTAGGATGACAGAAGCCTGTCGTCCTCTTGGATACATCGCCTAACCCCTCACTCATGTCTCTCACGAGGACTGCTCGCATAGCCAAAGCTTCATACGTATATGGAACATAGACTCGTTAATGGTTGTAGCGTAGAATTAAAGCTTCCCAGGAATAAGATAGTGAGAATAGACTGCATCGGAATGCCAAGAAGGGAAGAAAATAGAAAGAAATCTAACACCTCTCAGCTTTGATACAGATGTACATTCAGTAGTGTTGCGGCTTTACAGATCATATCTCGCTGGATCTTTACTACTCGAGAATCATCATTATTGCATGTTCGTCCGGTTGGAATGTGATGAAAGAGGATTAAGTTGTATTATCGTGACCTTATGGCCCTCCTTCTTTTTTTTTTCTCTAATCCGGTGAACAAATGACGAAATAATTAAGCTTATGTGATAAGGTCATGGTCATGTACATCCTGTGCCATCATAAAAATCATTGATTGCACGAGAGAAATATAGTGATTATTGGAAACTAATCACACGTTGAATTATCGCAGCATCCCAATCGTGCCCATCTTGGGACATTGGGCCGGACCCTGGCCCAAATACATCGAGTTAGGACTGAGCCAACATCTTTTCCGACTCAGGCCGGGCCGACACAATCTCGACCCGGCCCATGTCGACACCATCTCGATTTAATAGAAAAGGCCCAATTCCTCTGCGTGATATTCCTCTATTTCACATTATATCGTGTGTAATTTTTGATTAAATTCTGCATAAACTAACATTTTCTTTAATGGATTTTATTTTATTTTTACAAAAATCACAAGCATTTTTAACATTTTGTATGTCGTAAGGGGTATTAAGATCTTTCCTATGACGATATAAAGTATGAGATTGTAAGAAAGATTAAAAGTGATTATAATGAATAATGAGTTTGATGAGTCATTTGGACATGACTGTGTGATTTGGACGATGCACAACGAGAAGTATATGTGGGAAACGAGAGGTGGATGGGACGGGCACCGTTTACCTGGAAAGCGTACGCGAAGCGCTCTATGACATGGCAGAAACCTTCTCTGCCATTGTCGTGTCTTGTTCCTCCTACAGTGCGATTCCTAGGGGCGTGTTGAGCCAGTAGGTGGATGGCCACCGTCCCTATCTGCCTTCACAAGTCCTTGGATCTTCCCGGAACTCCGCCCTAAACAGTGGAAAAGGGATGAGAGGACCAATCGAGGCTTCCATGTAGCTGTGGAACAGTTGTAGGACTGTGTCTCTGCATGTAGATTTGCAGAACTGGTCATGTTTAATCACAATCTTTCAGAAACTTCATGGTCATGACAGCAGTCTGGATGTTGATTCCTCGAAAGAGAAAGCTCTGTTTGATTCCATATACATGCAGCTCAGTTCTGGTTGGGTTGGTTGTGCCGTCACTGATTGCCAGTAAAAAAAGAGATCGCACACATGAATCCAACTCCTGGATGCAAACAAAGAAAGGGGAGGGATTGGTCAAGAACATCCCGGAGCAAGATGCAGAGTCTTGGGCAAGCCGACAGTGGTGGGTGGCTTACAGCGTGACCCATATCATCCCCCCCTCCTTTTGGGGCTCACAGTTGCCTCATTGACCAGAAGATCTCATAATGCCGAACTCGGAGTAATTAATGGAGCGGACAAGGATACAAATCAGGATGTGGACTTTTGTCACCCTGCTTTTCTGATTGCTGATAAGGATGCTCAACTGATTCGAGCTCGACGAGGCGAGAGAAAGGTTTATGTGAGCCAGACTTAACACTCATCAGCCGTTGCTTCTCTCCTCCACTGCAGATCGAAGAGGATGAATTGCTTGGGAATCCACCAACCCAGATGAATTGCTTGGGGACAAGAAAACCTGTGTCTTCGAGTCATGAACATGAGTCAAAGGCCTTTCCAGGCGTGGCTTGTCCACATCCCAACAACACATGCAACCACTGCAACCAGAGACGACTTGAGGACAAGCTCAAGTAACCCTGCTACTGCCGCTGTGGTAATGGAGGTGGTTGTGACCACAAAAGCTGTCCATCACCCACTTCCCCGCATGAACCCCCCCTGACTGGTGTTTAGTTGGATAAAACTGACATGGTAAAACATGAGGATTAACGAGCTATCAAATCAATTCAGTGGCTCAGTTCCAAAGTCAAACCACATCTGTTTCTGGCTTCGTGCATGAATGCTTCAAAGTCAAAGCCATTCAGGTGACTAGATTACTCACGTTTCAAACAAGGTTTGCTCATCTACAGCTTGTGGTGAACGGGAAGGTGCACCTTTTCCTTGGCTTTTTTCTCCTCGGTTCTTCTGATGGCGTTTCTCTTTTTGCTTTTCATCGTTGTGGATGTTCCAAATTGACTATCGAGCGAGAAAAAGATGCTAACTTTGGCAACTTTCTGGTGTTACCATATACCATCATTGACTTTACTTAGCCGAGTATGATTATTTTGCGGGGCCGAAATGATACCACCGCGAGAAGAAGGAGATTTTGGGGATTCCAGCCCCATGGCAGGCAATAGATTACGGTGGACTCGGCGCCGAGCGGCTCTGAAGTCAATGCCGTCTCAGCCTTTCTCTGACTCGGCCAGTCTGCGTGACTTCATCTTCTGCCACAGCAATTTGCCTGGAAACCGTTGGGCATTTTCGAAGAGCCCAACAAGGACAAGCAGGGAGAGAGAGAGAGAGAGAGAGAGAGAGAGAGAGGGGGGGGGGGGGGGGGGGGGGGAAAAATTAGCCCTCCGGGCAATTTTTCCGGCCTTCCGGGTTCCTCTTTC